CGCTTCCACAGCCACGCAAAAACCAGACAGGAGTTTTGCTGCCTCTCCCCTGTTAATTATTATTATTTTTTAACCGTACAGCCGGGGGGGAATAACCTTCATATCCCCCTGTCAGGTGGGAACGCAAGGTACCCCCTCACAGGGCGGGGAAACATCAACAGCTGCCCCTGTGCACCCAAAACTGGCCCAGCTTTCCCCCCAGAAAAAAAACCTTCAAAACACACTAACGTGGCCCCTGCGCCCTCACTACCTCCTGCTAGGCTGTCTGCAAACACCTGAAATCAACGAAAAAGCGTATTTAGTTGTATTTACTAATTCACACCGGCGCTGCTAGTGCCATTCAGACTCAGTCCCACTCTTCATCAACCAGGCAGCTGCAGTGGGTTTGGGAATATGGGACGATTTCATATTCGGGGCGTTTTGGGGTGTTTTGGAGTCACTAGATGTCACTGTCGGCTCATGGCGGGGACACAACACCGGGTGGTAACGCATGGCTGGCTGGATCCTGCCGTCTCCATGCCCAGGCCAGCAGCCCATGCGGGAGCATGGCCACAGAGCAAGAGACCTCCCTGGCCACCCGGCCAGCAATGAGAGACAGACAAACTGCCTGGGACACCTTCTTCATCTGTATTTTGGGGTCTGGCCCCGGTGAACCCAGCAGCGGGCTGTGCAGGGCACTGCGCCGCCACGCATGCCCATCCCGGGGGTCTACAAGGACCCAGACACAGATGGAGCAATGCTACCTTACGACTCCTATTTCAATTACATCTTCATACCAATAGTAGGAAGACTAGCCATTACTGTAATAACAGCATTATGTGTCCTGTTTTTCTAAGGTTTCCGTGCTAAGTGGCAGGGCGTTTCACACGTAGAGCATCAGCTTGAGTCATGGCCCAGCCAGCAACGCTTCGAAGCGTCCTTCATGTCTCTGAACGAGCCCTGGTGCCCACAATATTAATTTGGAAGTATTTGCGAAGCTGGACTGGGATTGCTTCTGCTTCTGTATTTGCAGAGCACAAGGAGAACCTTCTCCTGGACTTCAGTTTGCTGAAGCATCAGCCTGGCAGAGCGGGAGCTGCACAGAAGGTTTGGCCGCATCCACCTGCAGATGGAGGTCCTTGTTCTCCGGGAGCAGCAGCCCGAACCTGAGCACCCCGTGTTTACCAGACGTTATGTTTCATACTATAAAAGTAGTTCTATCTCTGCAGGAACTGGCCCAGAGATAATAACTCATCTTACCTACTTTCACCCATGATATGGGGTCATCAATCAATTTAAAAAAAAAAACTTTTTTTAGCATTTATTTTGCCCAAAACAGCTTATTAAGCAAAAAACCCTCAAACTCAAACTTTTGGGAAGGATGAAAATACATTGGGTTTTTTTTTTTTAATAATTTCAATTGAAAATAAAAAAGAGAGTAGTTGGAAATGTGTTTTCCTTCTGATTTTTGACACAGGTTTTCAGCTGATCTGTTTAAAAGCTGTTCTTGTTCCATTCCAAATGTTCAAGCTTGAGATGAGTGCACAGGTTTACCAGCAAACACACAAGTGTGGGAAAAAAAAAGTGCTTTCATATTTGCATTGGCATGTCAGGAATGGTAACATGCGAGAGAAGAAATCACCCTTTCAAGATTTCATCACCCTTTCAAGAAGAAATCACCCTTTCGTGACTTCTGCTGTTAGAAAGCAGCTATTACTTTTTGACAACAGGGGTCATCTTAGGGGGAGGAAAATGTGCATTTCTTTTCTCTTTTTTTTACTCCAGTTCCTCAGAAACACAGCAAAAAAGATCAGTAACCCATCCCTGGCAGCTGTGGAGCAAGAAGCCACTGAGGCATCGCTGCCTGTTCAGAAACCAAGGAGCTGCCCAACCCTGCCTCCCCCCAGCCAGTCCCATCTCTTTTTAAAATAAACTAGATTTTTATTAAGAAGCAAAGCAAATAAATAAGTGACACTTATTAAGGAAAAAAAAAAGTTATTTCTATAAATAACAATATAAGAGTAAAGTGATATACAGTGTTCTGGGTCAGAAAGAGACAATAAATTATCCTGAGCTGACGGGACGTGGTGCCTGGTACCCTGGGCAGACCTAGGAAGGCGAGGTGACAGCCTGAGCGCTGACAGCCTGGCCTAAGAGCACTTGGCTGCTAACACACAGTCGGGGAAGGTCAAGTACTCAACTCGGTCCTGACCCCTCAAAGCCCTCCCACCCACCAGAAACACAACTGCTAACTGCATCGGGTGGTTACAGATGTGCTCGCCGAACACTCCAGGTGCCGTTTCCCATGGCACCTGGATGTATAATGAGGAGAGAACAGAGCAACTGCTGTCTGGGCCAGAATTGGCACATCTGGACGAGGGGCAGGGGGTCGTCTGAAGCACCAGAGGTGTTGGAAAGCTGCCTTTTTATAACAGCCCTGATCCCCACACCTCGGCCAGCCCGAGTGCCTCATTCCCTGCTGCAGCAGCATGCGCACACCTTGGCGAAGGAAGGCAATGCCAGAAAGCAGAGAGACCCACCAGGTTCTGCCCTCCGGGTTTGGGAAGCCAAAACAAAGGCACAAAAACCCCAAGGCACCCGACAAAAGGAGGCACTTCTGTTCCAGGGGCAGGATCAGACCCTGTTCATCTTATTGCAAGAGTAATGATGCAGTCTGCGGGTGGGAGCAAAGGGCTTTCCAATTTTTTTTTGTTGTTGTTGTGATCTAAGCATCAAACATGGGAGTCAAGTTAACCAGGAAAAACAATCAGGGTTGATTTTCCTCCCAGCACAGGTCTCCCTCCTAGGAGCACACAGCCACACGCAACACAGGTGACCCCATGTTCAAATGCCCTTATGCTCACAGCCGTCAGAGACACCGTCTGATTGTCACCCCAGCCTCTCTGCTGGAAACCGTTTGTGTGTCCTGGTGCTTCAAGAGCAAACAGGAGATCACATGCCTTGCCACAGCTATGGCACCATCAAGGACAACCGGCCTGGTGATGAAGTCCCAGGAATTACAGCACATGGCTACCAAACAGCAGCCAAACAATATTTGGGGGGGTTGCTCCCAGCCAGCTGGAGTTTGGTCCTGCAGCTCCAACTCTCGCATTGAGACCGTAATGTCTCACTTGAACCAAAGAAGCACAGACATGCCTGCATCCCCAGTATCTCCATCAAGCAGACACGGCTCAAAAGAACAACAGCAGCAGCTGAATCTCATCAGCTGTTCAAAGCTCAACGTCCACGGTGTCCTCCTCGTGGTCCTTGATGTCCGTCGAGTCCGCGGTGGCAGGCTGTATCACCCTGAACTGTGACAGCTTTGCCGCCTTCTGCTCCATGCTCTGCTTCCTCCATTTGATCCTCCGGTTCTGGAACCAGACTTTCACCTAGCAGGAAAATGGCACAACAGCTTAATCCAAGGTCTCCAGGAGCCCCTTTCCAATGGGGGCCGTTGCCACATGCTTCCGACGCAGATGTCTCCAAAAAGCAGAGTTCCTTAAAGAAAGGGGCATGCCTCTTCTCTGCTCGGGGCACAGTGCATGCGAGCAGGAGGAGGTGACACTATGGTGGGCAGAGTGGTGCTGGGAGAAAGGACCAGGGGAGAGGGGGATGCAGGTGCACAGAGGAGGCTCTGGCCAGGGGAGTGAAGGAGGTGCCTCCCGTAGTGAACCCATCCCTGGGGCCACGGCTACCAGAGGGCATGATGAGACACCCACCTACCCCCTGCTCCTGCTCCCTGTGCTGTTCACACCCTCCCTGTGCCCCCCAGAACTGCCCTTGCTTTGCTCTCCCTTTCCCCAGCTGAATTTGGATCCCACCACAGAAGATCACGTGGCTCCTCCTTTCCACAGTAAATAAGCAGTTTGCAGTGGGAGGGGCAGAAACTCACTGGGAAGGGCAGAAAAAAATTTAGATCCGGCGCCACAAAAGGACACTTAATACAGAGGATTATAACAATGTAGATACATTAGTCCAACCCAGCTTGAACTCTAAAGCAAACACGTTTGTGCTCCTGAATGCTTTTTGTTCCACTTCATGGATTAAGAAAACGACGTTCTTACTCATAAACCATCTAAACCTATCCTGCATCCCTCCAGGCACATGGGTTCAATGTCATCTTGCAGCAGGGAGTCCCACGGGTCACTTTGCATCACGTCCTCCTCCCACTGCGCTTCACAGCAGGGACATCACCACAGACCAAACCCAGACCCGGGATCTCTGCCACCATCCCCAGCTCGCCCATTTCTTACCTGAGTCTCTGTGAGATGCAGAGTTGCAGCCAGGTCTACTCGCTCCGTGCCCACCATGTACTGCTGCTTGAGGAACTCTTGCTCCAGCCGCTCCAGCTGCTCTGGTTTGAAGACGGTGCGGACCCTCTTCATCTTGCAGGGCCCCCCGGACCTCCAAGGCACAGCAGGGCACAGCGCGTTGGCCCCTACACAGTGAGACAACTCCAGACCTGCAAGCAAGAAGCAGCGACTGAAGGGGTCTGCATGTTTGAGGCCATTCCTCCAGCCCTGTTGATGTGCCAAACCCAGCTTGCTTCAGCTGTAGCTGAAATCCAAATGCAGCTGCTCTGTGCACTGAAGGGGGCTGGGAGAAAGTAGCACCAAAAAGAAAAGCAGGGATGTCCCTACACTGTCCCTACCTGGATCATCTCATCTAGGCTCCCTTTCCCACAAAAGGTTGGACCAGATGATCCTTTGAGGTCCCTTCCAACCTATTCCAGGATTCTACCCCATAGGTACAACCTAGGACAGTCCTGGACATGCAGCCAGACCCAAAGAAGTCAGCACTCAATGAGGTGAGCAGGGTTTGACCTCCACCTGTACAGGATCTTTGCAACAGAATCATAAAGTCCAAGAGCTGCCGAACGCAAAAATCCCCCCTCCGTCACAGGAAGTCCCTAATCACAAATGTCTAAAGTTTGGGGGAGTTTACCCCATGCTGGCCCCTGCTTTTACCCTTCCCTTGGCACCCGTAGTCAGCCAGTGTCCAGAGGAAGATACTGAAGCTGGCAGACTGGCTCGATGAAGACAAGAGTCACCAGCCCTCGCGCAGGTCCTCATCCCGGACCTTAGTCCTTTGGTCTCGGTAGGTTCAACGGATCCATAAAGTTCCTCGTGTGCAGAGGCATTAGCAGGACTAACAAGTGGATCTGGTCTCAGTCTCCTATCTAGCTGTGGCCTGATGATAACCATAAGTACCTAATTAACATACAATACAACATCAGCGCTGCCACAGGACCAGCCGGCACCAGCCCAAGAGTGGTGCCGTCTCTGGTTTCTGAAGCCCTCATCCTGCCAGCACAGACTTTGATTCACACACATCTCGATATGTACAAAAGGAGCGATATGTACAAAAGGAGCATGTGACTGCTACCCCCAACCATCCCCCCCCCCGC